GGTTGAGTGCTAATTAAATGTCGTTTATTATTATTATTATTAAAATAACAATACAATTATGATTTTTGTTCAACCAAATGTAAATGAAAATTACAAACAGAAACAAACTAACAAACCCATTGTGTTGAATTAAGAGACTACGGCGTAACAAGTATTGGTGAGAAAGAAGAATAAAGATGTTTTTAGGAAGTGAACTAGGTTGGAAGGTAGGTGTTTTATTCAGTGTTTAAGGCCATTGGCCCACATCACATAAAACGTGCGCATTTTAAAGAAGAGACTTCCTTGAACGCAGCAGGCTATACTTTATAAATGACACACATATCATTAACATTCTAAGAAACGTTTTGTATTGTTAAACGAAGTCTCCATATGTCCTAGATAAATTTAACATTGTATGGTCGCTTCTAAGCACAAGGGGCTATCCCGAAAAATGCTGTTTCGAGAAAATCAAAGGTAAAGTTTTTGCCCCTTGTTCAGTTTCTTTAAAAAAGACAAGGAGAGTTTCCTCTCTAACCAAACAAATATATGTGCACACCAATGAAACCAATCTTCTCCTTTTGGTAGGGCAATGCCCACTTTTGGTGAACGTCTAGATTTCTGGAAACCCCCGAAATCTGGGTGGCCCGCTTGTCCTTAAAAGCCACAGTATATTAATTTCTATCACATGGTTGAGTTAATGAAGCGAAGAAAGGGACAAGCATGTTCCCCTCGGTCGTCGAAATCAATAGAGTCGGATCTCTCAATGATTTCGATAGCGTCAAACGGAGCAGATGATACATAGTCACGAAACACGCCTATCGCTTCTACTAAAGGAATTCTGCACTTATTGAAGTAATCTAAGAACAACTGAACCTTTTGCGTGACCTTAAACACAGAGCGATGATAAATTTATTGCACGCTGTCTGCTCCCTGGCAGGTTTTACCGAAAGGTTGATCAAAATTTAATTTGCCAGCCGGCGCACAGAAAGGGCTTGGGCACTGCGAGCCTTGCACACATCCTGGGGGAAAACCCAATAGGTTCTGTGAGTAGAAACATTTGAGTAGGATCTGGTTAATGAGTATACGTAAAAACCTTATTACATTTTTAATTACAGTTCAAAGTGGAACTCACACGCTCGTACAGCACCAAAGACTAAGCGTGTGTATACCCTCTGTGAATAAAAAAAGTAGTCGAGCCAAGTATTGACCGCACTGTGGTTAATGTACAAAGACCTCATTCCTCACGCCCTCAACTGACACACACATACACACAC